TCCCCTTCATGGATCACGGCCTTGAGAGTCCTTTGGACTGCAGGGAAATCAAACCAGTCAATTCTAAAACAAATCAACCCTAAATACTCATTGGAAGGACTGATGCTGAAGCTGAAGCTCCAATACTTTGGCTACCTAATGTGAAATGTTGACTCACTAAAAAAAGACCCTGATGATGAAAAGATTGAAGGCAGGGGGAGAAGGGGACGACAGAAGATGAGACGGTTAGATTACATCACCAACTCAATTGGACGTGAATTTGAGCAAACTCTGGGAGATAATGGAGGACAAAGGATCCTGGCGTGCTGCGAACTATGGAGTCACAAAGAATGGGACATGACTAGTGATTGAACAACAGCAACAACTGCACTAGTAATGCCTAAACTAGCCAATGGGTATGACTAGAAAGCAACATGGCCATGGCTACAGAATCAAGATATCAAATTGCCAATATCCAATGGAGCATCGAAAAAGCAAGAGAATTCTAGAAAAACATTTATTTCTGCTTTATTGACTATGCCAAACCCTTTGACTGTGTGGATCACAATAAACTGTGGAAAATTCTGAAAGAGATGGGAATACCAGACCACCTGACCTGCCTCTTGAGAAACCTGTATGCAGGTCAGGAAGCAACAGTTAGAACTGGACATGGAACAGACTGGTTCCAAATAGGAAAACGAGCACGTCAAGGTTGTATATTGTCACCCTGCTCATTTAACTTATATGTGGAATGCTGGGCTGGAGGAAGCACAGGCTGGAATCAAGATTGCTGGGAGAAATATCAATAACCTCAGAAATGCAGATGACACCACCCTTATGGCAGAAAGTGAAGAACAACTGAAGAGCCTCTTGGTGAAGGTGAAAGAGGAGAGTGAAAAAGTTGGCTTAAAGCTCAACATTCAGAAAACTAGGATCATGGCATCCGGTCCCATCATTTCATGGCAAATAGATGGGGAAACAGTGGAAATGGTCACTGACTTTACTTTTCTGGGCTCCAAAATCACTGCAGATGGTGACTGCAGCCATGAAATTAAAAGAGACCTACTCCTTGGAAGAAAAGTTATGACCAACCTAGACAGCATACTGAAAAGCAGAGACATTACTTTGTCAACAAAGCTCCGTCTAGTCAAGGCTACGGTTTTTCCAGTGGTCATGTATGGATGTGAGAGTTGGACTATAAAGAAAGCTGAGCACCAAAGAATTGATGCTTTTGAACTGTGGTGTTGGAGAAGACTCTTGAGAGTCCCTTGGACTGCAAGGAGATCCAACCAGTCTATCCTAAAGGAAATCAGTCCTGAATATTCGTTGGAAGGACTGATGTTGAAGCTGAAACTCCAATACTTTGGCCACCTGATTCGAAGAGCTGACTCACTGGAAAAGACCCTGATGCTGGGAAAGATCTTTGAGGGCAGGAGGAGAAGGGGATGACAGAGGATAAGATGGTTGGATGGCATCACCGACTCAATGGATATGGGTTTGGGTGGACTCTGGGAGTTGGTGATGGACAGGGAGGCCTGGTGTGCTGCGGTTCATTGGGTCGCAAAGAGTCAGACATGACTGAGTGAACTAAACAGAATCAAGGCATCCTCAAATCTGAAAGAGATGGCATCAGTCACAAGTACCTTGCCATCTGATACAGAGCTCTGGGCATACTGAAAACAAGAGATCTTTGGTTGAGGCCCAAGCAACTGTTGCATTGTTGTAAACTAAACATAGAGACGTGCCTTCTGGCCTGTAGCCGCCCTCTCACTCCACACCTTGTCCCTCCCTTCCCTTGTATTCTGAAATCTATCGCTTTGAAGAAATTATTGGGGTGGATCGGGGGGGGGGTCCCTGTTCCCAAGAGGAACCAAAGGCAATGCACACCCCCCGCCCCGAGTATGCTGGAGAACTCTGGAGAAGGGAGAGATCAGACTTTTAAGGCTCTGTTGGATACAGGCACCTAAGACCATTTTATCTGATCTTGAGAAGGACGGAGTACCCAGACTCAGTTCATGGGGTTTAGGTACAGATAAGTGTAAAGTGTCCCTAGGGATTGAAGTGACCTGTTAAGCCAATTCAATGTACACTTGACCCTTGACCAAAATGGGTTTGAGTTGCATGGGCCCACTTATACATGGATTATTTTCAAAAAAATCTATTGAAAAAAATTCTTGGGATTTGCAACAATATGAAAAACTCACAGATGAACCTTGTAGCCTAGAAATATCAAAACGTTTAGAAACTGCTAGGTATGTCCTGAATTCATCAAATATGTGTAGATAACAGTCTCTTTTGCTATTTACTATCATAAAATGTACACAAGTCTATTATAAACGTTGCAATTTATCAAAACTTATGCACACAGTTACAATAATACATGCGGCTGTTCACAGTCAAGAGAAATGCAAGCACATGGAAAAAGTCAGCAATAAATTATAACTGCATAAATTTAACTGTCATCCATACTATACAACTGCGATCATTTCATACCCACCTCCTTCTGCAATTTCGATGAGCTCAAGTGATGCGGGTTATCTGCTTAAAATACCATGTGATATGTGTAATCATCTCTGTGTGAGCAGTCTGTCTCTCCAACAAATTGTGTATTGAAGTAACAAGTCATCTTCTGTGGTTCTCATGTATTTTTCATCATGCTTAGTGCAATATTGTAAACTTTGAATAACACCATGAACCAAACCAAACCACTAGTGATGCTGGAAGTGCTCCCAAGAAGCAGAGAAAAGCCACTGCATTACAACAAAAAGTTGAATTGTTTGATATATGCTATAGGTTGAGGTCTGCAGCTGTGGTTTCCCACCATCTCAAGACAACTGAATCCAGCATAAAGACTACTGCATGTTTTTTTAAAGGAACTGATGAAGCTGTCACTGTAGCTATACCAACAGGCATGAAAACCTTGTACATTTTGTGAAATACCTTATCTCATCTTGAAAATGTAGCTTTAATGTAGATGCAGGATTGCTCTGAGAAAGGCATACCAAAAGTCTCTCTATATGATTCAAGGAAAAGTAAAGTCTTTCTACAACAACCTGAAGCAAAAGGAAGGTGAAGAATCTAAAGCTGGAGAATGTAATGTCAGCAAAGAAAGGTCTGATAATTTTTAAGAAAGAGGTTTGTTTGGCTTTTAAAATGTCAAGATAAGAGAAGCAGCTTGTACCCACCAGGGGGCAGCAGATGAGTTCGATAACGTAGAAAAATCACAGAGGAGAGGGCTATCTGCCTGAAGAGGTTTTGAATACAGACAAAAGTGCCCTATTCTGCCAGAAATATGTGAAAAAAGACATTTATTAGTAAGGAAGACAAGCAAGCACCAGGACTGAAGGCAGGGATGTCAGGATTGACTGACGGATGCTCAGTGGTGTCCGACTCTTTGCGACCCCATGGACTGTATAGTCCAAGGAATTTTCCAGGCCTGAACACTGGAGTGGGTAGCCTTTCTCTTCTCCAGAGGATCTTCCCAACCCAGGGATTAAATCCAGGTCTCCCGCATTGCAGGTGGATTCTTTACTAACTGAGCTATCAGGGAAGCCTTAAAATGTCAAGATGAGAAGAGAAGCAGCTTGTACCCACCAGGGGGCAGCAGATGAGTTCCAGATACCATGTAGAAAAAACCACTGAGGAGAGAGAGGGATACCTGCCTGAGCAGTTATTGAATACAGACAAACGTGCCCTATTCTGGGGAAAAAATTCCAGAAAGGAAATTTATTAGTAAGGAAGAGAAGCAAGCACCAGGATTTAAGGCAGGAATGGATAGGCTAAGGCTATTATTTTGTTCAAAAGGAGCTGAGTTTATGAACAGGACTGCCCTTATCTATAAAGATGCTAATTCTGAGACCTGAGTGTGTTAGCCTCAACTCTTTGAGATCCCATGGACTCTAGCCCTCCAGGCTCCTCTGTCCATGGGATTCTCCAGGTAAGCATATTAGAGTGGGTTGCCATTTCCTTCCACAGGGGATCTTCCTGACCCAGGGATCTAACCTGTCTCTTGCATTGCAGGTAGATTTTTTACCATTTGAGCCACAAGGCAAGCCTTGATGGGAAAAGATAAACACCAACTGCCAGTCTTTTGACTGTACAGCAAGAAGGCCTGAAGAACCAGAACCCTTCTCCTGGATTGGTTCCATCGATGCTTTGTCTCTGAGGTCAGGAAGTACCTTTCCAGTAAGAGACTGCCTTTTAAAGTTCTTTTGACCATGGACCATATACCCTTGCCATCCAGAACCCCAGGTGTTAAACCTGAAGGCATAAAAGTGATTCAAGTGCCCCCAAACAATATATCTCTAGTTCAGCCTCTAGATCAGATGGTCATAAAAATTTTTAAGGCTCATTACACACAGTCCTCTATGGAAAGGACTGTCAACACTATGGAAGGGAACTCCAATAGAGAGGACATCGTTAAAGTCTGAAAGGATTACATTATTGAAGATGCCTTTGTTGTTATAGAAAAAACCACAAAAGCCATCAAGCCCAAAACAATAAAATCCTGCTGAAGAAAATTGTGCAGATGTTGTGTATGACTTCACAGGATTTATGACAGAGGCCATCAAGGAAATCAGGAAGTTGTGGATGTGGCAAAAAAGGGGGGGGCAGAGGATAAGGATTTCAAGATGTGGATCTTGGAGAAATTCAAGTGCTAATAGACACCACACCAGAGGAATTCACAGAAGACTACTTGATGGAGATGAGTGCCTAGTTCCCAACCAATGCCTGACAATGAGGAGGAAGAAGATGAGAAGACATAGAAGAAGCAGAGTTAGAAAACAAACTGACATTTAGACAATCTGGCAGACTCAGGACTGCTTTTGACTTCTTTTATAATATGGAATCTTCTATGATACAGGCACTGAAACTAAAGCAAAGGTGAAAGAAGGGTTGGTACGGTATAGAAACATTTTTGGAAGAAAGAAAAAGCAAAAAACTCAAGAGATCACAATGTGTTTCCATAAAGTTACACCATGTATGCCTGCATCTTCTGCCTTCCCTTCCACTTCCTTCACCTCTGCTGCCCCGGAGACAGCGAGATGAACTCCTCCTTTTCCTCTTCCTTCCCAACCTACTCAACACAAAGAGGAGCATGAAAACCTTCATGATGATCAATGTCCACTTTAGCAAAGAATCATCATGCCTTACGGTTATCAAACATATCTGTTGTGTATGTGTTTTGCATGTCTTCATGTGAAAAACTAATAACTGTATGACAAGAACTGTATGGGATGTTTTTTGGCCATTCTCATCTTCTAGGTATGCATCATATAGAATATTGTGTGCAAGATGTATTGCAGTAGACAGCCTATCCTTACACAGGCAGAAGATGAGTGATATTCAATATAAAATTATTAGTGTGTTAGTTTTCTTACTGTTTTACAACTTTGCTCTGAAAGAATTACATTATTGTACGGTATACCTCACTCTCTCTTGTAAATGGGAAAACTACATCAGACCTGTTTTTCAAAGTAAAAATGCTTCTGATACTGATTATGAATATGACTATAATACTGTATGCCACAAAGATTTTATAACAATTCACTCATTAGCGTATAGGCTGAGCTACCATAAAGCAATCATACTGCTGTTTCTTCATTATCAGGGCATGAATCATAACTGTAAATAAATATGAATTTCTTTTTCACATTACCTTTTGTCATATTTAGTGTTAATAAAATGTAAAACATCTATAATGTTTGTATCACATAAAACAATACTGATGGAGCTACTGACAAATAACTCCTCTTCTAAACAGATGACATAAACTTACAGTATCAATAAATACAGGACAGTACTGTGAATGTTTTTTCTCTTCCTTATGGATCTTTTTTTTTGACACTGCCTCGTTTCTTTATTCCAGGCTACTAGAGGGACAGTGATGGCATTTCCTGGCTTGACAGAAGGTAAAAACCTGGTCTAGAAAATAAAGACCGTCCTAACTAACACTGCAAATCCAAACAAGACCTAGTTCCCTTAGAGGGACAGAATATCCAAGCACCTACTGTGGCTTCTGGAGGCTTCTGTGTAACTTCGAGACAGGGCTGGAGGAGAGGCACAGGGTGGGAATGGCCTCTTTCCTGAGCTGTGGGGGTGGCAGCTCCAGTCCCCTTCTGCTCTTGACTGCTTTCCCAAGAGGCCAAAAATACTCTCCTGATGGCGGCCATGGTGCATGGAGGATACTCCCCAACCCAGCCTCCACACAAGACAATCTTGCAGGGGTGGCTTCTCCAGCAAGAGCACTTGATCGCCCTCCCCACCCCCAGTGATGGGAGACCAAGATTTTATACTACTTTATTCGACAACCTATTTCGCACATCCACTGTCTTATCTAGCTGACTCAGTGGGTTAGTGTGTCAATACCTGGAATTGTCTCAGCGTCACATGGATCCTGGTTTCCAAGCACCTAAAAAATGGCTACAGACACTTGGGTTGTTCGCCACACACCTGTGTCCTTGTGCATGATTTGTGAGGCAGAGATGACCTGCAGTTTGAACTCAAAAACTGTGAAAATCAAACCCCAAACCAACCAACCTATTAATAGCTCTTGTTGGGTGGGAAGCAGCTGGCAAGCCCACCCTTTCCGTATTTGGCTTGCTCCTGGTTTGGAAAATGACTTCTCTTTCTAGTGAGAATGGGAAGTTGGGCGGCCCAAGGGAAAGGCGTATGAGTCAAGTGTTCAGAAATGTACAGTCACCCTTGTTTGAGGGACTGTTACCTCCTGAACTCCTCACAAAATATAGCTCAATCTTGCTAGCCGAGGCTGTCTCAGGCAAGATAAAACTTTGCTGCATGAAATGAACTTAGGGAGCCTGACGCCAAAATCTTATTAAAAAGTGGGAGAGGGAGGTGGGAGGAGGGCTAGGAATGGGGGAACATATGAACACCCGTGGCTAATTCAAGTCAATGTGTGGCAAAACCACCACAATATTGTAAAGTAATTAGTCCCCAATTAAAATAAATAAATTAGTTTTTAAAAGTGTAGAGCAGAAAAACCTCCTGTACCACACATGTAAGCTGCCGATGCTGGTGTGTGCTCAGTCCTCTTGGACTCTTTGCGACCCCATGGACTGTAGCCCATCAGGTTCCTCTACTCATGGGACTGATTCTCCAGGCAAGAATATTGGAGTGAGTGGCCATTCCCTTCTCCAGGGGATCTTCCCGACACAGGGATCGAACCCACATCTCCTGTGTCTCTTGCATTGCAGGTGGGTTATTTACCACTGAGCCACCGGGTAAGCACCAACTTCCCTCCCCCAAGTAAATAAACAAAACACCAAACCACAAAAGCTACCCAAGGGGCTGGTGGCTCAGGGGCAGAGTCCAACCCACAGCAGGGCAGAAGGAGCAGGTGCAAATGTGCCGGAAGGGTTGATTCTCCCACTTTGCCCCCTCAGGGCCTCCAGTTCTAATACTGCCCTGGGTGGCTGGGTCTATCCGGTTTGATACATAAAAGGTAGAGACCAAACCCAACTCTCAGCTTCTTGTGTTTCTAGTAGGGGAGGAAGGCAATGGCTTCAATCCCTCTGCCCCAGAGCAGAGGCAAGATTCTCTGAAACTCAGGCAGACGGGATGTGTGGGAGGTTGAGCATCTTCTCCTTATGGAGCATGAGTGTGCTAACCCCTATAAAGAGTCAGTTCTCTGAGCATGTGGTCTGGAAGCTTCTACCACCAACATCTCATTGATTCTTGTCCCCTCTCCCTGATAAGGGGAGGGGGCCATGGAGGCCCATGAGCTCTTCCCTGGTTTCCAGCCACGAGAAGTGGTCTCCAGAGACGGGGTGGGGACAGGTGTGGGCTCTGCCCCTCCTGGGTTCTCCTCCCCGACCCCTTTCAGTACAGCTGGATGAAAGCCTCTAGCTCTTAGGGAATGAAGCCCTTGCAAGGGATCTTGTTCTTGTCCAGAGTGCAGGCTGAAATGCACTACAGGGTCAAATAGTTGAAGGGCTGAATGGTGCTCTTGGCCAGCAGCTTCTCATGCAGCAGCTTGTAGGCTGTTTTCTTAAAGGCGTTGGTGGTGTCCAATGTGGGCCCCCGCCTCTATCAGGGCATTCATGACCCCCAGGCAGTTGTTCTCCTTTGCGATGTGCATTGGAGGTGTTGTCAAAATCATGGCTGTCTGGGTCGGCCCCACAGTCAAGGGCACCTTGACCACCTGGATAGAAGGGAATCTGCCCACTTAGAAGTGAATCACGTTCATGGTCGGTGTCCACCGCCATGTGCGGGAGTGAAGACATTCTTGCTGTGAGGGGCACACTTAAGCAGTAGCTCTGGTGCTTCATGTCCTCCTGGTTGGGCTTGCACTCCACTTTCTCCAGCAGGTAGAGCAGGTGGAGGGTGATGGCCAGGGCCTTGGTGAACTGGACTGAGTCCCTGGCCTCCTTGGGCCCGCTCAACTTCCCAGATCTTTGCACAGCACCCACATTAGATCTGCAAAGCCAACTGGTGTATTCAGGCTGCCCCTTGGCCAAGTGGTTCTGGGGCACTTAGGAGAAGAGTTCATCAAAGGATAGGAAACTTCTGGCGGTCTGAGGCTCCAGGTTGTTCTCCTGCATGTCCAAGGTGTACTTCCACTAGTGGATGCTGCACTAGACACTGTCCGAGTTGGCCTATACCACATCCTGGTAGCGCATATAGTGGGAAGTGTCAGGTGGGAGGAACGAGGACCGCTCTCAGGTCAACAGTGCCTGCATGTGCTTCTCATCCCCCTGTGTGATGAGCGCCTCCAATTCCTCAGTGGTGTTCACCTCCCTGGAATAGTCAGAGGCGAGGATTCAGGTTTAGGCAGATACGTGCCCCCTGGTGATGCAGCTCCACGGCCCCTACCAGAAGTTTCAGGACCCTGAGCAGATCCTGCTTCTTAGCCATGTAGGTGGCTCCCAGAAACTCCAAGGCTGCTAGGCAGCTTCCCAGCTGGTGCTCAGGTGTTCCCCCTGGGAAGAGCTGCAGCAGCAAGCACGCTGGGGTAGCACACATACCTGGCTGGTGGAGGGGCCTTCTCGGGCCATCCCTGGCTGTGTCTCCTCCCCAGCAGGCTGCTCCTGGCTGAGGTCCTCCACGATGCTGATGTGGTCCGTCACGCGGGCAGCCAGAGGTGGTGTCATGCCATAGCCATCCCATTCCCTGTGAGCCTGGCACCCAAACAGCAGCTGTAGGACACCCGGGCTGCCGGCCTTGGTGCAGTCATGCAGGGCCACATTGTCCTTGATGCTGCACAGGTTCACCTGGACGCCCTGCAGTATTAGGTAGCAGGCAATCTGATGGGGGCCTGTGTAACAGGAGATCATGAGGCACATGTGCCTGCACTGGTTGGTCACCTCCAGGTCCACCTGGTGTTCACCTGCTGAGTAGTGCACCACCTCCACGTGCCCACTGAAGCAGTCAGCACACAGGTGCTTTGTGCACGTGTGCATGGTGCAGCTCACCAAGGCCCCAGAGCACAGCAGGCTCTGCACCAGATCCAAGGCATCAGTGGCCGAGGTGGCTCAGGGCAGCTGCGCACCCTTGATGGTCTTGTCATTGAAGTGTACCAAGCTGCCTGCCTCCAACCTGGCACCGCACAGTCCACTTTACTCAACCACATCTAGGTGGCTGTAATGGGAGGTGATCACAAGCGGCGTCCCCACCTTAACCCCCCACCCCCGTCCCCCACTGGCCAACTCGCCCGTCAGCTTGTCCAGCTCCTCCCTATCCAGCCACTAAGCAGCCTCTGAAGCATCTACCACGGACTGCATTGTATATGGTGGTGCAGAGGTCCACCATTTGGGCCTTCGCCAGGATTTGGACTGCCACAGGGAAGGTTGAAGGAACGGGGGACTGAGGACTGAGCCCAGAGGGGCAGGCTGCAGCCTTCACCATCTCTCCTGTTGCCATCCTAGATGCATCTCCTTATCGATTTTCTTAGTAACATATTTTTCTCCAGCTTACTTTAAGAATACAGGATATAATGCATGGGATATAATGCTCAGTCGTGTCTGATTTTGTGGTTCCAGGGAGTGTACCCTGCTAGGCTCCTCTGTCCGTGGAATTTTCCAGGCAAGAATATTGGAGTGGGTTGCTATTTCCTTCTCCAGGGGATCTTCCCCATCCAAGGATCGAACCCACCTACGTGGCCCATCTACTACACTGGCAGGCGACTTCTTTATTGCTACCACCCAGTTAAGGCATATAACATACAAAATAGGTGTTAATCAACTGTTTGTGCCAACCATAAGGCTTCTGGTCAATAGCAGACTTAGTAGTTAAGTTTTGGAAGAGTCTAAAGTTATACTTGGACTTTCCACTCAGAAGGGGGTTGATGCCCCTAACCCCCACGTTGTTCATGGGGCAGTGGAACTGTCATTGCTGCTTCCACGACCTAATACTTCACTGGGACAGTGTTTTGCATGCTTGTTCTAGGAATGCTGGATAAAGACCAAAGGAAATTCTCCGACTAAGGGACTGCCACGTGCAGAGAGATGACAGCAGAGTGTGCAATTGACTCCCCAACGCATCTCCCTTATCCTCTCCCAGGTGTCTGAAGAGAAACAGCGGAGAATCCCTGGAGGACAAAGAAGTCACGGCCTTGATTAGGACTAAAATGCGGCAGGTAGATGATGACAGTAAAGCATCAATACAATGGCCCAGTATGGCCAGTGGAAAAAACTAGCAGGGGGTGCAGTCTCACTGTGGATTACCGCCAATGGAATGTATGTTGCTCCAGTGGCCCTGGCTATTGGAGACTTTGTGGCTGTAAACGAACGCACAGCACAGACTGATGGCACTGGGAGTGCTGTGTCACTGCCTAGGCCTTCTTTTCTGTCCCACTGGACTTGGAAGACACTCCTCCATGGGGCTTTTGTGCTCCTACACATCTTGCTGAATGTGACAGGAAAGCAAGGCCCCGAGTGCTCTTTCCCTGGCATTTCTCAGGTTTGTGCTTACAGCAAATGATTCCGAGGCTGGTTTCCCAGCTGCTGTTAGGCAGCCAGGTGCCCAGGCTCAGAGGTCTTTCCTGTAATGCAACTCAGTGCACATGCAGGCATTTGTCAAGGATGATCTGAGTCACCCCTGTGGGAATTTGGGCTTAGGGAACTCATAGCCTATAAGGTTAAAAAAAAATGAACCTTCCCTGTTGATATAAGAGAAAGAGACCTTTTCCTCCTTCACTTTTCTTAGAACATTTCCTTGAGAAAACTGGTATTTGTAAACCTTCCTCTGCCCCTTGGATACGTATGTAAATTTTAAAAGGGTAAATAAGCCTTCTGTCAGCATTACAACCCCAAAATATTTTTCTTATGGGCCTGGGAGCCATCTCCTTGAAATATAAACACCACAGAAGACAGCACTCTGTCTCACTGTCATCCTGGGAGCTTAGCCTCGGGGCCTGGCTCTAAGCTGGAACTACCTGCTTGTAATAAGAGACAGGACAATTCTGATTTGCCTTTGGGTAAAGGCAATTAACCTGGCTTCCCAGGTGGTGCTAGTGGTAAAGAACCCATCTCCCAATGCAGGAGCTATAAGAGACACAGGTTCAATCCCTGGGCTGGGAAGATCCTCTGAAAGAGGGCATGGCAACCTACTCCATCCAGTACTCTTGTTTGGAGAATCCCAAGGACAGAAGAGACTGGCAGGGTAAGGTCTACAGACTCTCAAAGAGTCAGACAAGACTGAAGTGATGTAGAAGGCAAACAAAGGCAATTAACTAGCACAGAAGGCCACTCCCATTGCTAGCTGATCTTAGGATGAACTATGAAAGAATGTAGAAAAAACAGTGCTCTCAGGTCCTCTTACAGGACCACTAGTTGTCATTCATCTTAAGAACATGCAGGTACTGGACTGTATCTACTCAGTTAAACAAATAGTTAATTTCTTGCTGTCTTTGAAGTCTGGTTAGCAGGTTGCCCATGATGCCAATTACTGCCTGGTTTAATACTCAGTAATGAAATCATTCTGTTTCTATTCTGTATTTGTGGAGAAGATTTCCTGCGTTGTCAGGAGACTGTATTTTTAATTTTCTGCAACAGTATGCTGATGAGGATGGGATGGCCTTAAAGTTCCTGAACTGAGCAGACCAGTGAAGGTGAATTATCAAATGCCTCCCATTTAGCGCTTTGCTATTTTCAAATACTACCTGGATGGATCTCACTCTCCAAATTCTAGATTTTCTTTTTGAGTAAGCATGCATAATACAGGACCTAAAAATCCATCAGGGTCACCATCAGCTTTAATGGTGGGAAAGATGGGAGGCCCAGATGTTGCCTGCAGATCTTCTCTCTTGAATGGCCCATACAGCTCTATATGACATTTGGAAGGGAATCCATTTGAAAGGAAAATGCAGGCTTATATTGGCCTGAGAATGCTTTCTTTAATTTGGATGAATTAACATATACAGTGGTTTTTATTAGGACCTCATCCTCAGGATTCCCTGATGGCTCAGATGGTAAAGAATCTGCTTACAGTGCAGGAGACCTGGGTTCGATCCCTGGGTCAGGAAGATCCCCTGGAGAAGGGAAAGGCAACCCACTCCAGTATTCTTGCCTGAAGAACCCCATGGACAGAGGAGACTGGCAGGCTACTGTCTTTGGTGTTGCAAAGAATTGGACATGACTGAGCAACTAACAATTGCACTTTATCTCCAGCAAAGGAATTACTCATGTTTATAGGATGAATATCATCCTAAGAAGAAGGTTAAAAATCATTTGGGAAGATGGAGGAAATGGGAGAATTAAAGTCACTTTCTCTTTCACCAAACCCTCCTCCTCATTTCTCTGCTGTCTCCCCTCCTTTTGCTTCCTTTCCATGGCAGCTCTTCATCTTCATGCCTCAATCTGACCCCTAGTAAGGGTGAAGCTATGATCTTCGAGATGGGCTGTTAATCAGTAGATTTCCCTGCAAAGAGGGACAAGGAGACAGTAATGAATTATCTGCCCCGTGTGAGGTGTGTGTGTATGTCATGCTCTAGCTCTGATTCCATTCCATGCTTAGCCTATATTTTGACCTTCAAGATTATTTTCTTATCCACAAACTGTATAGCTAGGAAAGCAGAGATGACAAAGCAATATTATCAAGGAATAACTGGGACTTGGATAAAAGAATGTGTCCCCCACCGCAACCTCCCATGGTGGCTAAAGGATGGAGAGTGGTTGCAGCACTTAGAATAGACAAACAATAAAGGTGCTAGGCTGAAATATACAGTATGGGAAAGGAAATCCAACAGTCATCTAATTCTACATTTTTCCTGACTCAATGACAAGACAGCTGACCCTCCCTAACCACTTTGCCAATAAAGCTGATGCCACTAAGTAGCTACCCAGACTTGAAGCAGAATGAATCTACATGCCCTTCAACTCTCCAACATTTTTCATTGAGGCCTTCTTTTCCTGTGCCCAGGGAAGACCCACAGAAGTTTGCACAAGAACTTGGCAGTGTGTTTTCAGTTTATAGCCCCACACATGGGGATGTGCCCTGGTTGCTACACAGAATTCTGCAACCAGCAGGATTTGGTTGTTTGATTCAACAGCAGGCATGTCAGGACTGGAAGGTGACCTATCACATCAGAGGGAATTGTGGCCAAAAGACTCTGACTATATGCCACCTCCCACAACCATGGAAGAACTAATGTCTTGAGGGGCCCACTGAGAGGGCCTGCAAATGGCCATACTTGAAGTCTTTCTGCTAAAAGTGAGCTGGGAGAAATCACAGCAGTATACTCGGAAGACTAGTGAGTTCCCTGTTGATTTTCATCAGCAGTTTGTTGATACTTTCTCAAGATTTATCAGCATGGATCCAGGGCAGTGTTCCTATCTACTTTTCTGTCAACATAGGACAGTCTATTATATAAAACTTAGCAGCAGCTGCTCAATTTTGGGATAATCTAGAGAAAGTAGAAGAAGAAAAGAAGCAGTTAAACATCTCTTTGTGATCCCATGGACTATAGCCCAGCAGGCTCCTCTGTCCATGTAATTCTTCAGGCAAGAATACTGGAGTGGATTGCCATTTCCTACTCCAGGGGATCTTCCCTACTTCAGGGGATCTTCCCAACCCAGGGATGGGACCCAGGTCTCCTGCACTCCAGGTAGATTGTTTTTCATCTGAGTTCTGGGGTAGGCATGTTTGGCACTTGGTTTTAACTATTTTTCAAGGGAAGAACCCCTACTCTGGACAACATGTGAAGGGGGCTGAGGTAGGTGGAAAACCTGTATGCCATTATTACATGAGGCCAAGACACTTAAGAGGGGCTGTAGAAAGAGACTCCTGAGAATGCAGACCTTGCAGGAATAAGGAATCAGGAAAGGCCAGGACAAAACCCTCAGCTAGGGAATAACAGCCAAAAGGCTCAAAATTAACTTATTGAAGGAATCTTGGAGGTAGAAACTGTTGAACCACAAGTTTCCATCCCTTGCCCTCAGGTTAATCTATGCTTGCCTTTTCTGATAAATATCAGTGCTGGAAAAGACTCTTGAGAGGACCTTGGACAGCAAGGAGATCAAACCAGTCAATCCTAAAGGAAATCAACCCTGAAATGTCATTGGAAGGACTGATGCTGAAGCTGAAGCACCAATATTTTGGCCACCTGATGCAAAGAGCTAACTTATTGTGAAAGATCCTGATGCTGAGAAAGATTGAAGACAAAAGGAGAAGGGGGCAGCAGAGCATGAGATGGTTAGATAGCATCACCGACTCAAGGGACATGAATTTGAGGAAACTCTGGGAGATACTGAAGGCCAGGGGGGCCTGCCGTGCTGCAGTCCAGGGAGTCACAAAGAGTCAACACAGCTTAGCAACTATACAAAAACAATTGGTGCTGTTTATTCTGCAGTTTCCTGAGAAATTTGTCACTTTCCATCTAGTGGTGAAGTCTGACATTTCAGATCAGCTTTCTACTCGCTCCTTTTCTTCCAGTTTCCCACAAAGACAGGTCCTTTGATGACAAGTATGCTTTCTCACCTTCTCCTGTAAAACTACTAGCAAGAGATCTACTTGCAAATTTTCTGTGCAAGATAAATGCTACCATATTCTGTAATCTAGATGGAATGCTTATGGCTATCCCAACTGGTTTGGTTATTTATGTGCCTTCAGAGAGGAAAGAGGGATGGAAAAGAGGGTTGTGCTAGAAAATTACCCCAAATGGAAACAAATCAATATATGACTTTGGGCCCTAGAGAACAATGATACTGGTTTAATTCAAGATACAGAAGCTTAAAAAAAAAAGATACAGAAGCTTACTAAAAGGATAAGCTATGGCCATGTGTAAAACAATATCCTTTGTTGAAAGCCCAATTCAAGGGAATAAAATCAGTTATAAAAGAATTAGAAAAGCCAGGAATAATTTTAAAAAGGGAATTCACCCTCTTATTCACCCATACTTCCAGTAAAGAAGGAAGGTAAATTTGAAGATGGACAACCACCCTGTAGATTCATACAAAGTTTAGAGAAGTAAATAAACCTGTTGTTCCATTAACTGCTTCAATTTCTAGCCCTACCAGTTATTCTGACTTTGGGACCATAGTCTGTAAAGTTTTTCTCAGTGTTTTGCTCTTTTTTATGTTTCTGTAGCTAATGAATGTAAATTCTTATTTGCTTTTACTTAGTAATATGTGCTAAGTCGCTTTAGTTGTGTCCAACTCTTTGCGGACAGTCCTGTGGACTGTAGCCCTGCGGGCTCCTCTGTCCATGGGATTCTCCACGCAAGAATACTGGAGTGGGTTACCATGCCCTCCTGCAGGGGATCTTCCCAACCCAGGGATTGAACCAGCATCTCTTACGTCTCCTGCATTGGCAGGTAAGTTTTTGACTATTAATACCACCTGGGAAGCCCTGACTCCATTATTTATGGCAAAGAATTACTTGTGGGTTCCAAGACTCTCTATTGTTTTCTCTAGCCACTCAGAGGAAAGCTTAGGGGAATCTGGCCCATGGAGGGATATCTATAATTATTCATTATGTAGATGATTTTATGGTAGCCTCCAAAACTGAAGTGTAACACAAAGTTGGCATTTTGGCTTTGTTACAATTACTTACTTCAGTGAGGCACAATGCCTCCCTAGACAAATTCAAATACTGCCAAACTGAAGGGAAATATTTGTGGTATCTGTTGTCAGGTAAGGCTGTAATTTAGTAGATCAAGGAGCCTACTACAATAAAATGACTTAAGACAATTTGGGACACAGGTAGGGCATTGCAGACAGTGGATTCCAGCTTCTGCAGAGAGGGCAAAACTTTTGGTGGAATACTAACCTAAGGCTCTGATTTGGCCCCTAGAATTTGAAGAGGTTTCTGAACAGCTGAAACTGGCTACAGTCTCTCCCCCAGCTTTGAGGATTCCAAATTTTGAAAAACCTCCCCACTTGTTTTGTCATGAAAATAAAGGCACTGCTAGTGGAATTTTAACTCAAAAGATAGGATTAAACTATAGACCAAAGACACCTTTCCCAGTTCTTCTGGAGACTGTGACACTGTGAGTGCATGGATGCCTCCAACTGGTAGCAACAGCCACCACACTTAGTGAAAAGACACACACCCTTGCCCTGGGTCACTTACTTGTACATCTCACAGGCTGTGACAGCTATCCTACAGGTGCCTAAGATTCAGCACTTATCAGTATGCCATTTGACTGTGAATAAGCATTACTATCCAATCTGAATCTTGTACTTGGAAGATGCAATCTCTTTTTTTATATTTCTTTAAAAAAAACTTTATTAAAGTATAGTTGATTTACAGTGTTGTGTTAATATCTGCTGTACAGCAAAGTGATTTGGTTATACACATATATATTCTTTTTCATATTCTTCTATTATGGTATATCACAGAAAATTAAATATACTTTGCTGTCTTATACAAGAGGATCTTGTTTATCCATCCTATATATAATTTACATCTGCTAACCCCAAACTTCCAACCCTTCTTCCCTCCCCACTCCCACCCCATTGGCAACCACAGCTATGTTCAAAAGATGCAATCTCCTAAACCCTGCTACTCTATTACTAGCTCCTAACCAAAGAGATGACCACAAGTGTACAATGGTGGGAATTCTCTGGCAGTCCAGTGGTTAGGACTCCAAGTTTCCACTGCAGGGGGCATGGGTTTGATCCCTTTTCAGGGAACTAAGATCCCGCATATTGAGTAGTATGGCAAACATACAAAAATCCAAAAGACAAACAAAATAAAAAAAGACCAAACAAGCGTACAATGGTAGTAGCAGAAGACACTAGGCAGCAAGTAAACTTTTCTGATACTCCTCTTCAAACTGCATACATGAGGGAATTCCCTGAGGGTCCAGTGGTTAGGACTGCGCTTACACTGCGGGGGGGGGGGGGGGGGAGGTTCAATCCCTGGTTAGGTAACTAAGATCCTGCAAGATGCATGGTGCAGACAAAAAAATTTGCACACTTGATAATGTTTACTGATGTGCCACACATCCAAGATGAAGAGGGTCCATCTCGAGGCTTCATATGCTGGGGTGACTGCTCAATAAATCTTGGAAGATTATGTTTTGCCTAGAATTTAATCTGCACTAACAGCCAGGTTAATTTGCAGCTCTAGGGCTGCAAATCTTAGTTCAAGACCCAAAGAAAGCCTACATACTGATAGTAAATATGTGTTTGGTGTCTGTTGTGTAATGAGACAAATTTGAAAAAAAAAGGGGGGGGATTGACTTCAGTGGGAACTAAAATATCTCACGGAAAATCAATATCCAAGTAATTAGCAGCTTCGCAGCTACCTGTTCAGACATCAGTAATCCATTGTAGAGTCCACATAGGGCAGAATGACCAAATTTCTAAAGGCAATGATCTTCCTGACAGAGCTGCAAAAGTCACTGTTAAAACATAGCCAATTCAACTTAGAAACCCCACTTCTAATACAACAAGAAACTTTCATTCTGTTTTAAATAATATGCCTTCTGAACCTGTTGAGCTTGCAAGTGCAGGGGGTGGGGCCCCATGGCTTCCCCCTATGTCTCCAGGCCACCGACCTGTGGAGTTCAACCCTGACTTCATAGTGCGCATGATACCCAAAGTGGAGTGGGCGGCGCTTCTGGAGGTTGTGGACACCCTGCATCTGATCAAGGTGCCTAAAGAGCTGATTCAGGGATACGAGCATAACGAGGAATTTCTGAGAAAGATGCACCACGTGCTGCTGGAGGTGGAGGTGTTGGAGGGCACCCTGCAATGTCCAGAGTTGGGAAATCTACTCCCCATCAGCCATGGGATCCCCAATATGCTGCTGAGCAATGAGGAAACTGAGACTTAAACTGTGCCAGGCACCGGTTTTTCACTCTACGCCTGTGTGTATCTTTGTTTACACATATCTTGTTTGCTAGTCCTATCCTGTGTATCCCTAACCCTTGACCCAGTGACACACCACACACAGTGTTTTTGAGCTTGATATTATATTTTTTCTCATTAAAGGTTCAAAACCATAATAATAATAATAATAATAATATGCCTTCTAAAAGGAAATGAACAAATGGGTTAAGAAAAAGGCTAAAAAGAAGTTTGACTATACTATGGAAAGTACCTAACAATATAATTCCTATTTCATGGTCTGTATACTTGGCTGGTATCATTGTGTCATCAACAAAATCAGTTAAGTAAGAGCAATTTTAAAGGCACGAGACTCTCACTACAACTATCAAAAAGATGAACTTACTCAAAATGTATTAAAGAGATGTGTTATCTTTCAGCAGAATTCTGTACAAGCTACTCCCATGGTAAGCACCAGACGCTTCCCCAAGCAACTTAGCCAACAGGAACTGCTAGTAGTTGGAGTTCATAGAAGCGAAGATGGCAGAAGGTTTTGTCTACTTATGATGTGTATGATGTCACAATCGCCTGAAGTTTTCCTTTCTTCAAAAAGACAATGCTCAAGCAATGGTAAAGGTTCTCTTAATAAATATAATTTACACCTTAGGGATACCAGGCATATTGAACCAGACAGAAAGTCACTTTATTTCCACTGTTGTTCAGGAATTATAAAATGTTTTCAGATTTCTATAAACTATCATATACCCTATCATTCTTAATCCTGTGGACATGTATTAATACAACAAATGAATCTAACTCTGAAGAAACTTAGTGGCCAAGATTCAGCAATCAATTAGGGTAAAAAAGCCTACAGCTTTACCACTAGCTTGTTAGAAATTAGAGCACCCTTGCCAGCAAGCATGAAATCACTCTCTTTGAACTTATAAATAGCAGGTCTATAGATTTTGGTCTGAGACCATGTCCTGTGCCTAATTTAATTGAATCTTCCCATAATCACACTCAGGTCTTAACAGGGTTTCTCTCTTCCTCAGAAACTCTGAGACATGAAGTCATAAAAACCTGGAAGGACTCCCTGGAAAAAGTCTGCCACATCTATCAAAAAGGAGATCTCATCTACATAAAAGTGTCCCAGGAAAAGACAGGCTGTCCCCACACTGGGAGAAACCTTTCCAAATGCTCATTCCCCATGTAGGCTATCCAAGTTAAAAAAAAATGGATCCATGCTTTTCCTGTGAAGGCAGGACCTCAGGAGGACTGGACTGTTGCTCCCACAAAGGACTTGAAATTTAAGTTTTCTAGAGTGATTGATACTGGTGTTGAGCTCAACTGAAAAGAGGCTGAAGGGTAGCAGAATACACCACTTTGGCATAAGGATTATTTTGAGCTGAATGCAGTTGAGAAGAAGCAGGTACAAGAAGAGCTCCCTGCCCTCCCATTTGCCTAAAAGCAAGATAAAAATTTTCATGGGAGACTGGGACTCACATATATACACTACTATTTATTTAGAAGATAGATAACTAATAAGAACCTACTGAATAGCACAGGGAACTCTACTCAACATTCTGTAATGACTTATATGGAAAAAAATTTTTCAAAAGAATGGGCATATGTATATGTATAACATTCACTTTGCTGTACAGTAGAAACAAACACAACATTGTAAATCGACTATACTACAATAAACATTTTTAAAAGGTATATATTTTCAACAATGTCTCTCTTCTCTACCAGGAGGACAAAAGTTAATCATGGAGCTCTATGGTGACCTAAATGGGAAGGAAGTCCAAAAAAGAGGGGATATTATGTATTTGTATGGCTAATTCACTTTGCCACACAGCAGGAAATAACACATTGTTTTTGCAACTATATCCAATAAAATTTTTTTAAAAAGAATAAAAAAGTTAACCATGGGAGGCAACTTTAGATCCTTTCAGCCTGGAGATGGCACCTACATAACAAACTTTATTAACTAGCCTTTATCTACCATTAGTCTCCTCCCATATATTTACCTTCCCACTGTATGCTGCCCTTGGAAGATTAAAACTGCTTTGTTTTGTCCTGTCATTTCCCCAAAAATTTACTGTTTTTTGTTAAAGATGCTATATGAGCAAGCGTTGTAAACCACAGCTTTGAGTTACTACTCATTGTTCCCTGGGTAACTCCCATGTATACTTGAGGTATGTAAGTTAATAAACTTGTCTTCTCATATTAATTTGTCTTTTGTTAAAGAGCTCTCGGCCAAGAACTTAGAGTGGAAAGAAAATTATTTTTTTTCATCCCCTACAAGCAAACATTACTATTCTCATAGATGCCTTGCTGTCCTTGTCATAGGAGGATTATTTCAATTACCTAAGAATCAGATTTTACTAGAAAACATATATCACACTGTTTTATTTTCTATGCTCCAACTAATGGTCTCCACAATTACATATTTCTGATAAATTCCATACTGTATTCCTAGAACAGACATAATCTGGACTTAAAATTTAAAACAACCCAATTGTTGGCAGAGTAAAGGTGGAACCATCTTCATGAGTAATTTTTGCTAATACCAAAGCAAAGTAACTAATATGAATCAAGATACTCCAGCCCTAAATTTGACACAAAAATGTTTTTGCTAACTACTTTGATTGGAAGGATCTTTGTAGAAGAATTCTCTTAACTATACTACAATCAAGAGAACTGTTGCTCTCTCACCTTTACTACTGTAGGAGATTGGTTCAATAAAACTACTGATAGCTGTAAAGACAGACATAGTAAATTGCTTGTCTGTGCTAAGTCTCTTCGTCATGTCTGACTCTATGCTACCCTATGTACTATAGCCCACCAGGTTCCTCTGTCCATGGGATTCTCCAGGCAAGAATACTGGAGTGGGTTGCCATGCCCTCCTCCAGGGGATCTTCCCGACCCAGGGATGGAACCCACATCTCTTGTGTCTCCTGCCTTGGCAGGCGGGTTCTTTACTCCTAGAGCCACTTACCTCATACAAACTGGTGAGAAACCTATCAACATACCCATATCTATATCTATATCTACATATACATATATATAAAAGAGATCTCCCTACTACGTATGGAACATGGCAATGCCCTGAGCCTATTTTAGTAGCCCCACAGGATTATTGGTGGACAGTTTCTCTTAATATATCTGAGGCTACTACCAGTCTTCAAAACCAGACATGTATCTCTTGAGCTCTCTCATTATGAAGTCTGTTTAAGGGACCTGTTTGGGGTTGTACAAGAGCAAAAGAAGGCTTATTAGAATACAATCCTGGAAGAAACAGGAACAGGCACAGGTGCAGCTAACTCTTTTGACAGTGAGACTTTGAATAATAAACTTAAGTGTTTTGGAATAATTAAAAAAACACATAATACAACTGCAGACTGGATGTCATGCAAAATGTTTAAAAGCTGTGGAACCTCAAGTCAAATAAAAACTGAGAACATATGGGAATTGGACTGTTTGGAATGATGTAATAATAGAGCAAAAATCACCATATAGGTCTCAGAGCCACTCAACTGGACAGTCTAGAAGCAGTTAGTTATCAAATAACTCCAGAATAGCATCACTAGTTCAGAATTACAGCACTATTCATATTCAAAGGAACAAACACTCAGTGAATTAGTGTTAGACTATGGCTTTACCAGTAGGCATAGAAGGATGGTGTGAAATCACCTAATTAATAGACGAACAGAAATCTAGCATTTATAGCTAGCAATTGCAGCGGATAGGTCTTATGACACTGAATTAATTTTAGGATGCACGTTCTCTCCAGTCCCGGTACGGATAAACAAAAGAAGATGCCTATTATTCATGGAGATTTGCATGCCTGTTACTGATTTGGACTAATGCAAGCAATGGCTCAGAGGCTGGGTTCTTCCTCAAGACTTAAAATAATTAAGTGAAAGTGAAAGTTGCTCAATCATGTCCAACTCTTTGCGATCCCATGGACTATGCAGTCCATGGAATTCTCTAGGCCAGAATACTGGAGTGGGTAGCCTTTCCCTTCTCCAGGGGATCTTCCCAACCCAGGGATCGAACCCAAGTCTCCCGCATTGCAGGCGGATTCTTTACCAGCTGAGCCACAAGAGAAGCCCCAAAATAATTAAAGCCAAATACATTAAGCACTGAAAGTTCAATCTGTACCCTTCAAAGGGTGCTTCATAATAATATAATAGAAATGACTATGGGTGTCTTTGTGTTTTGCATCTGGGAAATATTATCTGGGGAGATGGAACCATTACTGCATTGCTAAGTTAGGTATGTGTGATGCTAATTATTGAAAGACAAGAATTCAAGAGAAATTCATTGGACCTTATAAGAAAAAACTCAATTAAAAATTAACTATCAGGCCTCCAGAGAGCTACTCCTTGGGCTTGGATTGGGTAAGACTTCATAAGTTTTATTTTTTTTTCAGTTGTTCAGTCATGTCCCACTCTTTGTGACCCCATGGACTGTAATGTAGCCTGCCATGCTTCTCTGTCCATGGAATTTTCCAGGCAAGAATACTGGAGTGGGTTGTCATCTCTTTAGGAACTACAAAGTAGTACTTAAATAAGTAATCATTTGAAAGAGCAAGCAACAAAGATAACAACATTTTATAGAAGTAACATGTGTAACAGAGAACTTCTTCACAATTGCTAATCAAGAAATGTGCTATAACCACTGGTAGGACATATTTAAAGGTTTTTGCCTCCAACATGTATATTGCACTTTGTAAAAAACTGCGGCACAGTTGCTTTACAATGTTGTATTAGTTTCCTCTGTACAACAAACTGAATCAGCTATATGTATACATATATCCGCTTCCTTTTGGACCTCGCTTCCACAGCCTTCCCCCAATCCCATCCATCTAGGTCATCACAGAGCACCGAGCTGAGCTCCCTGTGCTATAGAGTAGGTTCTTTGCACTGACTTTATTTTTTATTCCCCCCCCCCAGTGTAAACTTTATTATACAGCTTTCCTCCTTGCACCTAGTTGACACC